GTGTCTTCGAAGATAAGAATCGCCAAGTCAAAATGCTATTTCTTGGACTTGAGAGAACCACACAACTGCTATTAAGATATCATGAGGATGTATCTACCATGCACGTTTGTATATATACCACGAAAAATATCTATCTACCATGCATGTTTGTATCTTTACTAAACATTTCATATGGGACCGTACAATAAAGATTGGTATAAAACCTGCCAAACAATTTAACAAAAAGCAAAAACAAAATAAAAAATGAAATAAATGTATCATAGAAAACCATTGATTAAATCTTTATGTTGATTCGTCGGCTTTACTTATGCAGTGATTCAAGCCAAGCATCATATCGTGTCATGTATGATTTATTATTATTATTATTACTATTATTATTATTTTACTTGAAATAGAGTTCAAAGATTGGAACCTTAATGATGAAGTGAAATGTAGAATTATAGTTAGATTATGCCCGCAACCGTATCAATGTGGTATTTCTATTATATATAGATTTATATTAAAACTAATAATGATTTCTACTTTTTTCTATTAAATTTTTTTTCCTTTTTTCATTCGTAAGGTTAATACAAATGGTAGAGAAAGATGAATATTCAGAGTTTTCATGCCTGGCCAATATTTGCTCATAAGAGTGGTGCATGACTAATTCATCTTATCTCAAAGTAATTAGAAATGCTTGAAATAAAAAGCATAAACTGATTAATTGTTATCTTTGTGACCTTTACCAAAAAATTGTCTGAAATAATTAACATTATGGATATCATGCCAAAGAATAGATAATTGTAAATATAAAATTATTGTTTAATTTGGTTAATAAAATAATTTCTAACACATATTAATATTTCTCTCCAATGTTGCCGTGGAAACAACTTTTCTACAAGATTTGACTAGAAAATGTCATTTTAAAGATATTTTAATGCCATTAATTTGAAGAAAGAAGTCGTAAATCTTATATCGTGAAAGCTAACGTTTTATTGCAGTGAAGTGTGAACTTGACCAATGTGTGGACGATACAAAGTGTGTCAACTTCACACTCAACAATATTATCGTATTATATATGTGTGTATTAATGTAATGCACAATGCACTTGCGACTTGTCCTTATGATCCTTTTCCCCACCATATAATCTCTGCATGTGGTCAGTGAAAACTCATTATTTAATACTCTCATTTAACTTGATTTCTTCCTTTTAACCACCATGACATTGAAATCTTGACCCCATCCTTAAGAAACGTGTTACACAACTTGTTCAAGCGTCATCACACGTTCAAAATCAATCAAAAAACTTTCTGGAATACTTGTTCGAAAATGCCTTCTAAGCGTGCATATTATGGAAAATATTAATTCGATTCCACTGGTAGAACTCGTCTTAAATTGAGGATCGTATCTTGTGTATTATAAAGTTGTTTGCATTGATATTAGTGTTTCTAATTCTATTTTAGTGTGAATGCAATTCCCGTTATTAAAAATAAAAAAAATAAAAAATAAAAAATTAATTCTATTTTAGTGTGAATGCAATTCCCGTTATTAAAAATAAAAAAAAAAATAAAAAAAATAAAAAAAAAAAGACCAGGATCCCTCATTTCCACAATCACAATGGGTGTATATTTGTTCAAGGATATTGGTGCTGAATTCATTTCTCTGAGGTTAGAAATCTTAATAATAGAATAAACTAATTACTCTTGTAGTCTAACACTGGAGAGAGTAATTAGATACAAATTACACGATGACTTGTAATAGCTAAGTCAACAGCTATTATAGCTGCTTCATACATATAGAACTAAGAGGCGTAACGAATTAGACTTTTTCGTTTAAGGGTATAAGTAATTCTGGTTGTGAATGAAAGAATTACAGTTGAAAATACATCCATATATATATATGGACCACAAATGCCCAATAGACTTTAGGTTAATGGTCCCTTTTTTCAATTTAATGGTTCTTTTCTACTTATTCTCAGAGGAATATATTTCGTGTCTATTAACTTATTTTTTAAGAAATTGTATATTATTTCACAAAAACAATATATATAAACAAAACAAGTCAAGTATATTATCATTAATTATTTAAAAAAGAATAATAAATATATATAAACAAAACAACGTGTTAGAATACTATTAATACGTGCTAGATTGATAATTAACAAAAGGTCAAATATGTAACTTTTATAAATACAAGTGACTACATAACTCATTCTTCGTTTCCATCTAATCCAAAACAAAGAGGGACAAATATAATGTTTCCACTATCATGCTAAACAATTTTAAGAAACTTTACAATCCTTTTTCCTCCAACCCTATTCACCATTCATTTCTTTTATATTTCCTATCAAACATACCGGCCTAATGGCTTTCGTTCAAAGGAAATTACTTCTCCCCATTTATTCCTATTACACTAGGGTCATCTTTACTCTAAAAGGAAAGAATATTTTCTTGTTGCACCTATTTATATGTTTACATTTGTAAAAGAGTCGTTTGTCTCTCGGATTTGAACCACAATTCAATTTTTTTTTTTTTTTTTTGCTAAATATTTTCTTCCACAAAAATATTAATACTATAATGACAAATTAATACTACAGTATTTGTCACTTAAAAATATAGATGCATCCTTGGGGCTTTCTATTTGAAGATAATAACTTGTATAATTAATTAGAAACATAAGAGGTTAAGAACATCCAACTAGATTGAAGATATTCAAACGCATATAATTAGTTATTAAGCCATTATTTAATTCTTTCAATTAGATATAATTGATTTCCCTTTCATACTTTATTATTGACCAAGCATGGGCCTGTTGACTAACACATCATTTATGACGTTTTTGGAAAGAAAAATGCATGATTTACTATGGTTTTATACAAGCCTCTTAATTATGTCCTTTTAAATAATTGAGTGTTATTGTGACTTTTTATTTTCTCTTATTAATCGAATGACAATTATTTATTTTTGAGTAAAGTGGCATAAATAATATTTTTACTATAATCTTTTGGTATTTTTGGTATATTTTTCCTTTTTTTGTGGTCTCTGATTGCGCCCAAACATGTATAAAAATAAGCGGTCAATTGTAGCACCATTAAGACAGTCGATCCCACAAGGAGGTGACAAAAACAAACAAAAGATATTAGCGGAATAGAAGCGTTAGAGAAATAAGCAATCAAACAAAGAAAAGAAAGAAGTGTTTTTGTGATTTTAGAGCAATTTAATTTAAACACAATGTAATTTAAAATTGAGAAAATTCAGTAATTAAAAGTGGTGAGACATTGAGAATCCTCTATATGCTTCGTTCACCTATTTAGATTTTGATTCATAAATTGACTCAATTGAAAGGGTTTGACTAGACTTATATAAAAGTTGACAATAAAATATATTGATTTGAAAAAGAAATATGATTAAAGAAAATTATTTATTCAAATGTATGAAACTTACATACCATTAGAGAATCAAAACCCAAACACGTTTACTACACATATAGGATCATCTCTAATCTCACCCAAAAATTCTAGCCTTACTTGCAAAGCATTCTCACTTCTCACAAAATTCTAAATAGAAAGTATGAGAATAAGAACAAAAAAAAATGAAAGAAAAAATGTCTAAACTTAAACTAAAAATCAATAACACCCAATACACTTAATAAAGCCCATATTTATAGAGTTTTTTTTAGAGCACGTCCACACAAATATTCAGCAAATAAAATGAAAATAAAAACTAAAGAAAAACGTTTCCCAATTAATTGGAAAGTTACAAAGCCTAAATTGGAGAATAAAAACTAATAATGGTGGGAAAGAAAACTGATAGAAATGGTAGAAAGAATGGCTGAAAGGTGGAGTCTGATCATTTGAGGCAGGTGGGGCACCGTGAGAGGCTGAACGGCTACAAAACACTGGGAGTTGTCGGAAGTGGGACCCGCGGCTGGAGAAGAAAATGTGCGTGTGAAAGAGACTCGGCTAGCTTGGTTTGGCCCAGATGCAATTAGTGGCTTCACATGCGCTGCTAATACTTTGGGCTTTTAACTTTATTTTTGCTTTCTTTGTGGCCCAAACATATTTGTTTCCCTACAAAATAAATTAAATTAAATTAAAACTAAATATTTCCATACATAAATATTTTTGATTAATTCATGAAAATATTTAATTAAAATTTAATTTATTTGACAAATATGTACACCAAAAAGTGTAAATTTGTGCACTTATCAGTCCCAAAAACTCCCATTTCCAACTATTACTTATGTAAATTTATCGCATAATCTTAGAACATCTCAAGTGCTAAGTTGGGACCCCAAATTTTTTTTTTTCTAAACTAAATGAGTACTCAATAGAGCACCCAAAAAAAAAAAAAAAAAAGCCATTGGCAAACGTCCCACGCTAGTAAAATGTTAGAAGATGAAACAAGTTTCCTCCGTCGTCCATTCTGCTTTAAACATTCCTAGAGAAAATTTATAGCAATTTTCCAGTAGAAAACTGGTAATAAATTTTAAAAACACAATCATCTTTAGTTTTGTTTTGTAAAATTCCCCAATCTCAATTCAAAACCCAACACAAATTACTAAATCTCCAAATTAACGGGGGAAAATACCCCAAATGGTAAAAGACAAAAAACCAAATAAAACTAGATCGTCGGAGATAATATATAAGTCAAACAGTACACGCGTTGCATGCATATTGTAACTTTCGAAACCTAGATATGAACTAAAATATTTTGATGAAAAAGGGAAATTAATGCTTCATATGTCATAGGCTAGGCCTGGCTACTCTAGGGTAATGGAGAGAATCTTAATGAATCAAGAGCTTCATAATTTTTCGGAGACTTAATGCGTTCAGACGAGAAGTTTTGAAAATGTGACCAAAATTTAACCGAGTTCTATGCTCTAATCATGCCTATATAAGGCGATCGAGTTTGTAGGAAGTGTATTGCAGATCAATCGTTAATAGAGCTGTTGCATACAAAGAATATCAACACTCTTTTCTTCTGCAAAATTAATATTGAATTGTAATTGATCTCGTCGAAATGGAGACAAACACCAACAATGCTAGCACTCAAGTTGCCGCTTACAAGCTGGGCAACACATCATCATCACCAACATGGGAAGAAATCCGGGGCAGCAACAACTGGAAGGACCTTCTGGAGCCTCTGAACCTTGAGCTTCGTGAGTTCATCCTCCGCTGCGGCGACTTTTGTGAGGCCACCTACGACGCCTACATGAAAGAGTCTATGAATTTCCCGGAGTCGTCGTTCTTCAACGACGTGATGCTCCAAAATGCCCCCGACTATCAAGTCCGTTACTTCCTCTACGCCCCATCTGGTTCAAATATCATCGGCGTCCAAAGCACCAAGTCGGAGATCAATTCGACACACTGGATTGGCTATGTAGCTGTCACAACGGACGACGTCAGCAAGAAAACCGGCCGGCGAGAGATCTACGTTGTCTGGCGCGGCACCGACAATGTGGGGGAGTGGATTACAAATCTTTTTGGGGCTCTACACAGCAAACCTTTGGGGGGTTCCCTGATTGAAAGCGGTAACAAGGAAGTGACAGTCCATGGGGGTTGGCTTGAGATGTATACCGATGAGAAGGTCGTCACCGGGGGTATAAGCGTGAGAAAGCAACTACACAATGCCATCCAGGAACTGAAGCAGGAGTACGAAGGCCGCGAGGAGAAGCTGAGCTTAGTGATAACAGGGCACAGTCTAGGAGGGGCTTTGGCGACTCTGAGCGCCTTTGATCTCGTTGAAAACAAAATCATTGGTGATCATATTCCTGGTGTCTCGGCCATTGTTTTCAGCTGTCCAAATGTGGGCAATGAGGCGTTTAGGAAGAGGGTACTGGAAACACATTCTAAACAGATTAAGATTTTGCATGTAAAGAACGTCAGGGATATCGTACCGCGTGTTCCTTTTGTCTTGCTTGCCCCTCATAAGTTCGTTACTACATCTACGTCTGAGCTGGAAGTAGATACATGGAAATCGCCGTACTTGGAGACTTCTCAGGAACAACACAAATTTCAGTCAAAAGGGGTTATTGAGAACATCTTGAACGTGATCGAACACCTCCCGTACTTGATTGAAGGAGCTATCGATCAGCACAACTTGGAGGCGCTTTTGCATGTGGTGGCTTGGTGGAATGGGAAGGACAAGGAGTTTGACAAGACCCCAAAGGTGAGAAGAAGCTTGGCTTTGGTGAACAAGTGGAGCAATTATCTAAAGGATGAGCTACGCGTTCCGGCACGGTGGTGGGAGGAAAAGGACAAAAAAGGGATGGTGCCGGTGTTGGAGTGGGTTCCGAAGGATCAGTGGCCTGAGTGGGCTAATATTTTCCTCATACTCCCGAAACCAAACTGAATTGATCCACAGCCAAAGTACGTCTCCGCTGCTGGAGAGAATATATATATATATATATATATATATATATATATATATTTGGTCAGTATTGAATAATATTGGCCGTCTCTCAAGCGTACGTACGTATTCCAATATTATCGATAAGTAGTACTACTGCTGCATGCTTTCCTTAATTTTATGAATTAAAAGTTGTTATGTTTTAGAGCGAGGCAGTTTGAATTCGAGTTGCTTAGAATGTGCTAAGCTTTTCTAGTATCACTGTCCTCCCTCTTCAACTAAAACATATATAAATATATAATATAAAAATAATAAGTTGTGATGTTGTAATTTGTGTTAACATTAAGCATATTATGCTGTATGGTGGCCTTGCAATAAAAAGTATCAGACAACATATTATGTCTACAATTAAGTTGTGATGTTGTAATTTGTATGAATTTGCTCATAGTTAGCTTGTTGATCTACAATTACACCTTCAGTCGTTCTTTTTTTTTTTTTTTTTGTTTTTTTTTTTTTTTTTTTTTTTTTTTTTTTTGTTAAGAAGAAATAGAAGAGAGAAGGACAACACGAAATAAACATATACTAATTAAAAAGACTTAAAATTAAGCATCTCAAGTATTAAGTTGGCACCCAACTGTTCTTTTTTCTTTTTCATAAATAAATTAATACTCAATATAGCACCCCAAAGATGTTGTAGGCACAAGATGAAAACAGTTTCCTCTGCCTTTAATGCCCTCTATAAACGTTCTAATGGAAAATTTATAATAATTTTTCGGGTAGAAAAACTTATAATAAGTTCAATCGTCTTAGTTTACTTCTCTCTAGTATGATGTAAAATCCCCAAATCTCAATTCAAAACCTAAAGACAGAGTAGATGAAACATTTATATAGTAATCTGTTATTTACTTCAAATAATTTTAAAATATGTTATTTATTTAATTTAGTTTCATAAACTGTAATTTATTACAATTTCCCAGAGAGTGTGAAGTAAATAGCAGATTTATAGTATATAATTGAAGTAAATAGTAGATTTTAAAACTATTTGAAATAAATATCAGTTTACCATGTAAATGTTTATTCACATAAATAAAATTTTTTTACCACGTAAATTATTTTTTACCAATCATAAATAAAACATTTATACAATAAAATAATATTTATTTCAAATAGTTTTAAATATATTATGTACTTAATTTAGTTTTATAAATCCGCTATTTACTACAATTTTCCTTACTTCTAATCTCCAAATGAATCCAACCCGAAAAAGGCGTAGAGTGGAACACATTTTCTACGATTTAGCGAGTTACAGGGTAAAGTACTAAAATTAAAAGTTCAGAGTATGGTTGTTCACGGATTGGAATCCATTAGGGGTTAATCTGCAATATCCAACCCAAAACTATCAGATCAAGAATATCATAATCCGCCACCAATGCAAAAGTTTTCCCAATCCAATCTGAACTATCAGATTTTGGGGATTAAATTCCAGTACTGATTTGGGATTTTAAAGTTAATAACCATATTAAGAGCCCAATTTTTTAAAATTTAGAAATTAAAATAAACCCAGTAAAACTCAAAATTAAATTTGTTACAACCCAATCAATTATGACAAACTAGCTCCAATAAAACTCAAAATTAAGTGTTCATCATTCATCAACATTACTTTAAAGTTGAATTTAATTCAACGTCTACAACCAAAATAAACATATCATGACATAAGATAGTTGAACTCCTAGTTCATAGGGTAAGCTGTCAAAATCCAAAAAATTCAGAGATAAAAAATGCTAAAAAAACCTAATTATTACTTAAGATCTACCCGCTTTTATTTCAAGAATCGGTTGATAAAAACTTATCCTCAAAATGTAACAGAACCAAACAAAACAAGAAAATAAAAGTCCAAAAAAATTTGCACAAAAACACAGACTCAAATCTTTTCGTGGTTTTGGCTTACACCTTCTTCCACAGCAAACTTGTAAGAAGACTATTTAGCTGTGAAACAAGATGGAGAAGCTATGCTTTTGAAGCCTAAAAATTATTTTGATCCCTTTCCGCGACAATATTATGTTCCCACCACTCGTGAGGAGCTATATAAAGGCATGGTTATTGATGCACAAGACTGATTACGTGCAATATATTATGACGCACATATATATATATATATATATATACATATATATTATTTTTTGGATTATAAACAAGTTAATATACTCTGTGCTAATAGTATAAGAAACAAATTATTAATTAAAATAAGAAAGTGGAAATTCATATAATGTGCGTATAAGAGAAGTTGACTAATGGACCGGCATTGGAAAGAAAAGATAAAAATATAAATCACGGATCATGAAATAAAACGTGGAATTGAGGGTGTACTCTCTTCATGATGCATTGCAACGTACCCTTTCCGTCCACGCAACTATGTTTCCAAATTTTCCCGTTTTACTTAATTAGAATTTAGAAGGACTTTCAGGACAACTATGTAAACCATTTTGTAAACTATCTTCTAACAACTCAGTGCCCACTGCAAAGCTTATGATTAATGTTTTATTATCATCATCTCATGTAACAATGAGAAAGTTATCAAATCAAATACTTAATTACGTACCAACTACTAGTTCTTTTAATATTCTTTTTAATTAATTTCTTGATCACAGCAGCGAAACGTGAATTAACTGCATCATTCACTTACATTATACATGCCAACTAATTATGAAGGTCACGTGGTATAGACGTTGCATGTAAGCTTCCAAAAGCTAAATATATTGTTGTAAAATGCATTTAACGCAAAGAGGAAAATGTTTCATGTGTCGTAGTCTAGGAGCCGACTACGTACTCTAGGAAATGGAGAGAATCAACAACTTCCTCATTACCATTCGCGGAGATGGCGTAGCTTTATTATTACATATTTTGATAGATGTGTGCTCAAAAATTTTAAATGTTAGATGATTTTATTTTTTGGGGGGTTTGAGTTTGTTAGTATATATAATACTTGATTTAGAATGCCAAGGATTACACTTATCTTTACCGCTAGCACATTTAGTGGTGAGACTGGGATAACATGTTTCACGTCCAGATGTAGACCCAACCGTTGGACTTTTGGGAAACATTCCTGTCAATGTTTGGAAATTATGTTTTAGTTAAAACCCGGGGTGATATGACAACGTTGATCGCCCATTTTCTAGACTTTTCTTTTTTTAAATGAAAAAAAAAAAAAACTTCCTAATTTTTTTGGAGGCTGGAGGCTGACGTCATAAAATTTATTTGAGTTCTACGCTCCACTCATGCCTATAAATAGACGACTTCGTAGGGAGTTTATTGCATCAATCAATCGAGCTATTGCATACGTACTCAACACTCTCTTTTGCTGCAAATTATTTTCATTCACACCAAAATGGCGAGAATCACCGGCAGAACTACTACTACCTGTGGCGATTTCAATCCAACACCGACATGGGAAGAACTCATGCACAGCAAAAACTTGGACGAACAACTAGAGCCTGAGCTGAATCTCGAACTTCGGAAGTTCATCCTCCGTTGCGGCGACTTGTACGAGGCCACGTGGGACGCTACCTCAGCAACAAGATAAGAGTGCGTTTAAAATAAGAATCCGTATCATGATTCGAATCATATTTTATGACTCAATACAATATTTTTTTTCATAAAAAAAATATACATAAATTAAGAATAATTTTAAATTATAGTTTTAAATTTATGAAGTAAACCTCTTCTAAATTTCCTGATGCCCGTCGTTCTTCAAAGACTTGAAATTTAAAAACGCCTCCGACTACCAAGTTCGTGCCTACCTCTACGCCCCCTCCAGTGCCCTCCCTTCTGGCGTCCTCCTCAGCAGCGACAGCCTAATAAAGGCGACCAACTGGATTGGCTGTGTAACCGTCACATCGGATTATGTGAGCCGAACGACCGGACGGCGAGAGATCTACGTTGTCTGGCGTGGCACCATCCATAATCCGGAGTGGATTACGGATTTTGAGGGAGCTTTCAAGAGCAAACCCGTCCGTGATTTGCTGAAGATCAGTACAAGATCAGGTAGCGACGAACCGACAGTCCACGGAGGTCGGTTTGATATGTACACCAGGGAAACCGATGACGAGATCGTCCCAGGTGGTAAGCATGAAGGACCAACTCTATGCTGTCATCAAAGAACTGAAGGAGCAGTAAGGCAAAGAGAAGCTGAGCTTAGTGATAACAGGGCGCAGTCTCGGAGGGGCTTTAGCGACCCTGAGCGCTTTCGATCTCGTACTTGAAAAAGAAATCATCGGCGATGATATAATTCCTCCTGTATCCGCCGTCGTTTTCGGTTGTCTACATGTGAGCAATAAGGCGTTCAAGGAAAGTGTGGAAGGTCATTCTAACCTTAAAATTTTGCATGAAAAGAACATCAAGGATCTCATACCGTATTTCCCTGGCTTGCTTTTTCCTGATAATTTCGTTCCAACATCTACGTCTGAGTTAAATGTGAGTACATGGAAGTCGCCGTACTTGGAGAATCCTCCTGAACTGGAGAACTTTCCGGAAAAGATCAGTGACTCTTGGGATTTGTTGAGAAACGGTGACAAGTTGGGACTAGTTTCCAATCAGCACAGCTTGGAGGCAACGTTGCATGTTGTGGCTTATTGGAATGATGTGAACAAGGAGTTCGAGAATAAACCAAAGGTCGAAAGGAGCTTGGCTTTGGTGAACAAGTGTGGTAATTATCTAAAGGCTGACGAACATGTACCCGGAGGGTGGTGGAAAGATAAAAAAAAGGATGCTGTTTGTTGGAAGTTAAACTTGTTTTTGGGCATAATGTTAATTGATTTTTGATATCTTAGTTATTGGGCTTTGATCCAATTATCTAATTTAGACTGCAATAAGCCAAATTCTAGAAGGTACTTCTAAAATAATCTTCAAATAATATCTAAATATTTTTAGATAAGAGAAATGTAGAGAGTTCTAGAAAAAAAGATATTTTGACAGAGAAATTTAAAATAGTAGATATTTTGATGGAGAATTCTAAAGAATGAATTGTAACTATTAGATTAGAAATGTGTTGGCACAATCTTAACCGTTGTTTGTGAATGTGCCGCTAGTATAAATAGGGTGAGTTTTTCCATTTTGTATCAAGCCAAAAAATTTCTTGAGAAGTAATTAAAAGAGTCATCTTCCTCTTAAATCTCTAAGTTTTTCAGTCTAGTCTCTTTTCTAGTTTTAAAATTCTCTCATATTCAGCGAGGGCACGTGCCCCCACAGAAGTTATGTATAAATTTTTTTTAATATAATTTTTAAAAAATACAACTTTTATTTGTATTTTTTTTTGTTTTGCCCCTCACACAAGCTGAATTAAAAACTCTTTACTTGTCTTTTCTCTCTTCACTTTGCTCTTCTTCTCGTCTTCTCCCAACAAAAACTCTTTACTTGTCTTTTCTCTCTTTACTTTGCTTTTCTTCTCGTCTTCTCCCAACAAGTAATATCTGCTTGAGAATGGGAGGATTATTGCTAGCCCACTACGCCTACTACTACTCAAGTTTGTCTTCTCTTTCTTTATTTATTTTGTGCTTTGTGCTCACTTCTTTTACCGAAAAGTCAATACTGTAAAGAATCGACTATGCAATCGAATAGGAGATCAATGGATGAATGACAGTTTGGTTGTATACATTGAAAAAGAAATTGTTGATCATATTGATAATGAAATTATTATGCAACGCTTTCAAAATATGAAAACTCGACGAGGGCAATTGTAATATATTTTATAATTATTGAGAAATACTATGGTAATATTTTTTATATTTACTGTTGTTCTATTTATTTGTTGTAAAATATACTTTATGTCCCCACCGAAATGTTATCCTGGCTCCGCCACTGCTCATATTCAACACTGTTTGACGAATCTAAGAGTGAGTGGGTAGTTGACGAACACATTAACTTTCATAAAATTCATTGGTGTTGAGCACCAATTGGTTCATCCATGGCTCCTATAGGTGAATATTCTTGATATGTACTTTACACAATGATTTTTGGTGTATTCCACTATCGACTATTAATGTACTGCTTCTTCCTTTTTATGTTGTAATTTTTTGTCGTTTGCATTAAGCATACATATCCTGTCGATCGTATGCATGGTGCTCTTACAATAAGAAATATGAATTAATGCTGCCTTACATTGTTATGTTTATGTCAAGCTCGTGCAGAAGACTGACCTAGTCGCTTTGGTTGGCGTGCAATTCTTTTTATAATATCCAATGTAGTACTGAAAAAACACCAATTTTCTCATATTTACTCCGTGCTAGAGCTTATATACAACGTAAAACTGACAAATTAGAAAATTATAGAGCGAGAGATGTAGGCCTCGTTCATTTCACCGATTCGAGTTTTCAATTTTAGGTTTCTACAGTAAAAAGCTCTCAAAAAATATCACATCTAATTTTTTCTGCTACAGTGAAAAGTTCTCAGAAAATGTCACATCTCAGCTCAAATTAAAAACTCGAATCCGCGAAATGTACAAGGCGTGACCAAAGAAGAAAAAAGTCATCTTACGAATTTAGAGCTTACAGTATAAAGGGTCTTACAATGAGGAAATCTTTTGCATGTGGTGGCTTGGTACTACACAATAATGCTCTGGAGCAAGCACACGTATTCCAGTATGGATAAGTAGTACTATTGTTGATTTCCCTTTTATAATTTCAAAGTTGTGATGTTTTAGATTGAGGTGTTTGAGTTCGAGTTGTTTAGTAGGTGCTAAATCAAGTTGGAACGCACTAAGCAGTTCTAATATACTACTCATCTTCTCTCTCCCTTAAAAGAAAAGGAGTTGTGCGATGTTGTGATTTGTGTTGTCATTATAGCATATCGTGTGGCAGCATATATTGTGGTATTACAATAAGAAATGTAAATTTTACATATTAATAATTTGTGTCTAGCTAAAACCAATATCATGGATTAATTCTTAAGACCAATGTCTGAAAGACGTGAAAGTTATGAACTGAATTGTGTATAAAATTTCATTAGGAATAAAATGAACATGCTACATACATGTATTATTTCATTTTTTACTTTTTTTCTCTTATTTTGTGCAGTGACGGATTCAGAATTATAAATTAAAACTTTGATATGAACTTATACTAAAATACAAATGACCATTAAACAAATTACAAAAAAAAAAATTACGTTTTAAAAAAAAACTTATACATACCATACCTATTAAAATATATATATATATATAATAAATAATATTAGTTTACAACTACAATTTGTCCATTATAATTATTGAAGAAGAAAGTTTTAGGAAGCAAATAAAAAAGGAAAGCAAGCGTTTAAATACTACTCTTTTTAAGTAATTTGTTAATGTTCTAGCGTAAAAGAAAACAAATGAAAATGAAAATGAGTAATTAGCTCAATTTAGAACAAATAACGAAAATATAAGGCTTAAGTGGGGGCACATAGAGATAAATAACAAGTAGATTTCAGTGGGGGCACGTGCCCCCACTGGCCTCTATGTAAATCCTTGCAAATTTTTTCTAGTTTTGGTTCATTTATGTTAAAATTATTAGAGTGCCTATTTATTAAGGTTAAATTACAAGATTAATTAATATTTTATCTAAAATTTAATAGAATGTATCTGAATGACTAAATTTAAGACATTTAAAAAGTTAGAATAACTTTTAGTATAAGGACTAATTATAAAAAAAAAAAAAAAAATCAAGAACCCGTGATGGACTCAAAAAAAAAAATAAAAAAAAAAAAAAAATATATATATATATATATATATATATATATATACACACACGCACACGCGCGCGCACACGTATGATACCCACTATTCCATTTTCCAACTAGGATTTATTACAGGAAATATATTCATCTATTTATCAATTTTCATCCATTGAACTAAAAGTGCTAGCTAGCTAGTTCAAAACTCAGGGACAGGCAAATCCTCATCGTCCGGCGGAGCCAAAATCCATTCCCCACTACTCTCATCCAACACCATCCCTTTGTTCTTCTCCGCCCACCACGACTCAGGCACCAAGTAATCATCTTTAAGAAACCCACTCGACTTGTTCACCAACGCAAAACTCCTCTTCACCTTCATCTCAAACTCCTTGTCTCCCCCATTCCACCCTGCGACCACGTGCAACATCCCCTGCAAGTTGTGCCAGTCTCCGGGGAACAGCGACTCGTTCAGGTGCGGCGACTTCCTCGAATCGATCACCAGTTCCTCCCCCATGTCCACGAACCCGAACAACATCCCCGGATAATGTGGTATTAGGTCGATTGTGTTCTTCGTGTGGAGAATTTTAAGGTTCCGGTGCTTCTCCGCTATCTCCTTGAATTCCTCGTTCCCTACTTGCGGACACCCGAAGACAAAAGCGGTGACCGGAAAACTCTCCGAAACGACGCCGTTTTCGACTAAATCAAAAGCGCTGAGAACGGCCAGGGCGGCACCGAGACTATGCCCGGATATCACCACGCTGAGCTTCTCTTGTTTGTATTTCTCCACAAGCTGTTTGATTCTGGTCAGGAGTTGGACTCTCGCGCTTGTTTTCACAAAGGGAGAATTTAGATTGTTCGAAGTGTAAATAGTAAGCCAGCCCCTCATCACTTTAGCGTCATGATCAGTACTGTCTTTGTTAAGCAGAGGCTTTGCAGAGTCTTGATCGGCCCCTAAAACGTTGATCCACTCGTAGTCCCTTATGGTGCCGCGCCACGCGACGTGGATTTCTCTGCGGCTGAGGGATCTGCTTACGCTGTCGGTGGTGACGGCGATGTAGCCCATCCAGTTGGACTCGCGGTCCCAGGAGTCACGGGAGCGGGAGTGGAGGAGGAGGGCCTCGGGGACACTGATGCGGGCGGTGGCATAGAGGAAGGAAACGACGTCGTAGGAGGAGGCGTTGGGAAAGAAGACTGCGCGAAAAATGGAGGACTTGCCGTAGCGGCTGGCGCCGCAGTACTTGGAGTTCTGGTCGCTGTTGAAGGCGTCGTAGGTGACTTGGCAGAAGTCGCCGCAACGGAGGATGAGCTTCCGGAGAGCGAGGTCGAGAGGGTCGAGAAGGCCGTCCCAGTTATTGGCGCCGAGGAGCTCTTCCCATGTGGGTTCGGATTGCGTGGTCGTCATGATCAGAAAGAAATATTAGCAAAGAAAGGATGAGAACTTGAAGGAAGTTCTATGGAGAGATTTAGATTTAAGATGATATTATATTGGATATTAGGAATTGGGATAAGATATTCGTACAAAGAGGGAGTGGGTGCAAGGACATTGGATTTAGCCTTATTAGTTTAGGCAAGTTGTCTTCCTTTTTTACTTTTTCATGGATCCCTCATGATGTAGGTTGCCCACATGCCCATTCACCCAATGGAAATGTCATGAACTCAAGACCTTATCAATGAGAACAAAATGTGTGGTCCTAAGCATAGCTTAATAGAAATATCGAGGTAAGGGAGTTAATTTTCTGGAGGAGTACTTATACAAGTTATCAGCAAATATATATATATACACACACACACACACACATTAGAGGGGGAAAACCTACTTTTGCACGGCATTTACTAGTAAATACTCAAAGGCATAACTAAAGCCATGACTGGAACAGGAGTAAAAAAAAAAAAAGATGAACGAAGAAAAATGATAGCAGACAACAAAAGGAAATAAGATTAACAGATAAGTTGTGTGGTCAGTTCTCCACGCAATCTTTTTAGAAAGAATTTTGCACGTTTTCAATGAGCGAGGTCAATAAACTGGAACAACATTGTGTACAAAAACTAAATGAAAACAAGAAGATTGATAAAATAATTGGCTGAAATATTACATGATCTACTTTACGATGAAAGATTTATCTTTACTGTCGAAGATGCCCTCCAGCCAAGGGATAAGGAGAGAAGTTAGGAGGACACTAGAAATCAACTCTATTTTATTTTCTGTTCAGCTGTCTATATTTATTTGATTTCTTCCCTGTTCCGAAACTAATTTTATAGAAAAGATTCCAAGAGGCCATATTAGTAAACCATAAGGTACAATGAGTTGCCACCACATTAGAGAAGTAAAAACTAGAGTCAGATGACGGTCAACTGGAGGGGACAATTTCTACGGCAACCCATTTTCCTTGAAGAAAAGAGATAGACACTGGAACCACTGGTGCCTTAAGAATTGTTTTGTCGAAATAAAATAGTAAGACCAAACAAAGGAAACTCGAGGCAACGCCTCACCAAGACAGCCACGGTGAGACACAAGCATACGCGTTGCAATTGAATTTACAATCTACTTCAGTACTTTGTATTGCAAACACTTAAACACATAGTGCTCTTGTTTGTGACGAACAGAGGAAAGCATTAGGAAAGACTGAAGAAGTAAATACTAGTTTTCCAAATTGAAAGCTTGACTCATCACACGAGAAATTAGAGGACCATTCTTACAAAACACAAAAGTTTCTGCACATAACACATGTTTTGACTTTCGGAAGACTAGCCACTACACATGCATGCGTGACACTTAATTCAAATTAAGACCAACCACAACATAAAGCTTCCCTCGTTAATTTCAAAGGATTCTTTATTTCTTTCCACGTAGTTTCGTTCCAAGAGTTCTCTCCAGCTTCGTAATAATCTGTTGATTTGGAATAGCCTTTCCCGATTCGTACTCCTGGATCACTTGGGGCTTCTCGTTAATCATCTGCCGAATAAAAGAAAACAAAGCAAGCATGGACCAATTAATAATTTAATATGCATGGAAAAGATTTAGACACTGTAAAAAGAAATAGATAAAGTCGTACTTGAGCAAGTTGAGACTGGGTGAGTTTCTTATCCATTCTGGCTTGCATAATAGCTTTCTTGAGCTCCGTTGGTACACGGTCATCTGGATTTCAAATCGTATAACAAACACAATTATACATAAAGCACCCCAGGAAATATAGCTAAGCAAATCCCTTAAATGTCCAAGAGTATAAAAGAGCATACAAGGTACAAAAAGAAACAACTGAGAGTTAGAGAGCAGGGTGGTACAGGGAAGAAGGGACAAAAGGAAATGCATAACATGCTGAAAGGATCATCACTTCCTCATAGGTTTCTAATTTGGGCAATACAATAGCTAAAAAACCACTAACTTATACAGATCTGAGAAGGGTATTCGTTAAGGCAGGCCAATGACACATTCATTAGCTCCACATTCATCAGCTGAGCTCCACTAGAAGGCTGACCGCCAAAGCATACGAGCACATCAAGGTGGATACTCTCATAAAAATGCTTAGTCAAATATACCATGAGTGATTTCCTTGTGCAAGCACTGAAATATTTCACCCTTTCTTTAAACTTCAAGCAAATCAACACTTCAGTTTCCATAGTTCATTTTTCATACGCTCTTCTTTCTCTCAGATCAATAGTTTATACTATGTCTTGAACCAAAATCCACATCACCTACGAAAGCTAATTGCAGTAATACACAAGGAAGAAGCACCAGCATATCAAGAAGAGCTCAACATATTTATGATAAAAAATGGAAAAAAAAATGGCCGTAAGACCAAGAAGCTCATGATCCCACAAATCTCCACCTCAGAATTGCAAACCCATGCTTTTTCCTTTTGCTAAAGAAGAATTCATTCAAACAATAAAAACAAAAACCAAACAGAGCAGGCAAATCACAAGGCCACCCGCCACTCAACACAGACACGAAGTACCAAAGAGCAAAGAAGCCTCCTCAAAATGACCAAAACCGCCAGGGCCAGCAATAACATATACTTTCTCATTATAAACCGCTCCATGAATATGTCATATCAAAGAAGGAGGAAGAAAAAAAAAAAAAAAAAAAAAAAAAAAAAAAAAAAAAAAAAAAAAGAGGGCCTAGTTCAAGCTAAATCTTAAAAAGAAGGGGATAAAAGGAAAATAAAGATAGAAAAGATAATATAAAGGAAAATCAGAAAAGGAATAGTTAAATTGACACATGAACTCCAAACTCAATACTCAAGTCGCAGACAACATATAACTTATCAAATGGATTTGACTCAATTGGAGCTTCCAGACCTAGAATAACATGATAAAAACAACAGGGCTGTTTGGTAACGTTTTCAAAATGATTTTGTTTTCAATACAAAAGTAAAATTGAGATTGTTTTGAGAATCATTCTTGGACCAATTCTGAAATTGCATTTGGTTGGTTTTTTAAGAGATTGTTTTGAGTATAATAAAAAAGTTCAATAGTGTTTGATTATAATTATTAATTAATATATTATAACATTGTTGATAAGTACAAGAAAATGAAAACAAAAAAGGGAAAACAACTTTCAACTGTTTTCTAATTCCTTCACAAAAACCATTCTCACTGTTTTTTGTCTTTGTTTCCAAAACATTTGCTAAACAAACACAGTTTGCAGACCGTTTTCATTTTCGTGCCTCAAAAAACGTGCAAAAACGTTTTCAAAAACAATCAAAACCAATTCCAAACACACCCAACATTTTAAAATCCTGTCTTTAAAAAAAAAAGGGTAAAATCATTCTAAGCTAAAAAATAAAGAAAAATTCAAGTAAATTTCGCAAATAGCAATTCTTTAAACCATTCATGACAGGTTCCCTCAACTTAAATGCAAAATAGAGAAGACCAATAATCAAGATTCATGGAGGATAACATAGAAAACTACCACATATGGATGGTAAAGCAAAACCAAGAGGACTTACGAGAAAGGTTTTCTGTTTCATCATCCAGTTTCCTTGTGTTTAAGGATGTACTACTAGAAGCAGCTTTGTTTGTCCCAGCAGTGGCTGTTTGAATCAAAAGATAAAAAGAAAATCAGAATAGTAATCAGAAAATCCTCGAAAAGTAGCATATCAGGGCAAAAACATAAAGGAAAAAAATAATCAATAAAGTAATGCAAACCAATATAAAATTCCCTGAAAAATAACAAACTAAGGAGCAGATACTCTCGCACGCAATATCTCTTCAAAAAGTATACGATTAATCATAATTCTTGGCCTCACAAAATGAGAAGAAAAATTAGATAACGCATAAGACAGAGTGAAATTCAACTCCTTAATGATATGATTTTGTTCTTGATAACTACAATCACACCAAAGGAAAATAAAACGACGAAAAGGGCTCTGTGCCAATATAAGATCAAAACCTAAGCACAGGATACTAAATTCGAAATGGGTCATCGTTAAGTCGATTCAGAATGGTAAAACTCATGATAACGTCAATAACAATGACGATGGCAATAAAATGAATACCCAAAATAAAAAATTCAAAAGATCAGAATAAAATCATGAATCAACTTTTTTTTTCCTAGGATTCAAAGTCCAATCTGTTTGATGAACAAAAAAAATAAATAAGGGAACAAAATGAAAGAAAACTCAAGGAGTGAAGAGATAAAGGAGAACAAACATTTCTTGAGGGTTTCAATCTCAGCGCCGGCGCGGCGAGCGGCGTTGACGGCTTTCTCGTCCTTCTTGGCGGCGGCGTTGGGTGCCTTCTTCCTGACAACCACGGGTTCCCAATCCTGGGTGATGTGACCAATTCCTGCCATTTTTTCTCTCTGTGTCGTTGAAACTTGATGCTAGCTAGGGCTTTTGTTTTATGGAGGTGGGATTTGGGATTTTCTCGTCTGCTGTTGGCTTGGTCTGCACGCCTGGATTAGATATTTCTTATATAACCCTTTAGATTTGTTTTTCTTTTTTATTTCTTTTTTCTGGGTTTTAAAATCATCAACTTTTGCGGATCTCGCTGCGTTAATCGACTTGGCCCAATCAGTTGACAGCCCAAGATCGCGCTTGGAGATTTATAAATTGTAGCATTTTCATTTTTTTAATTAATGAAAATTGTTTAGTTTTTAGTGGAGTAATATAAATAGGCAGATTTTTTAGTACGCTAGGCATATCGGTAAATTAAGTTTTTTAATCATTGAATTTGTGTATTTTTTAATTTTTATGTATATTTAACAGATAAAAAATTTAACTTACCGGTATATTAACGTACGGGAGAAAATCTCATATAAATAATGAGAAGTTAGGAATCATGATCAACTATCAAGTGAGCAGGTTCATAAACAAACAGACAAACTTGAAAAAAAAAAATCTTGTAAGAAATGAGAATATCTTCCCTCAATTATTTTATATAACAGCATATAAGTTTCATTCTCCCTTCGCACTGGCGGAAACCATCCCGATTCACTCCTGATTGACTCAGTGTTCGAGTTTCATTCCTTAAAAACTGACGTGCACCCCTAACTTTTATAAGATTATTGGTTTTGATAGTTGATAAGATCTTTGTTTATTTAGGAAATGCTTCAAAGAATGTTTTGCAGAAAGATTTAGCTTCTTTATATGTCGTGTTAGGATCACTCTAAGGTCAAATAAGACAAACTTTCGGTTTTTAAAAGGCTTATTGGAATGTTGAATTTGGACTAAAAATATATGTTCTTGCTTTCATTGAGGAAACGAGACAGCGTACAAGACTCATTTCTTCTCCAAGATGTTTGATTTTTTTTTTTTTTGGGTCAAATGTCATCGTTTAGACATTCAAAAGGTTTTTTTTTCTTTCTTTTAGTAATATTCATTTTTGTAATAAGTTGGCATAGGAATTTTAGATTCCAATTCTGATTGTGTTTCTTTAGTCCTTAAGTCTAATAATTTCAATTTCGTTTCATGTCCAAGATTTTTTGGAAATTTTCACATTTTTTATTATAATTTTCACAGGAAATATGTTAGTTTCTTGTTTATGCTTATAGTTACATCGAATGAAATTTTGATTATTTTACTTTTTTATTTTCAATTTTCGGTACTCTTTTGTGAATTAATGAATTTTGATGCCAATTTCTGGTATTTTACGTGAATCAACGGATTTTGATGTGTTTTTCTTGACATTTTGTGTAAAGCAACGGGTTAATTAATCCATCCCCTTTATTTACGTTTTCGTTGAATTAATTAGTATTAGAGACTTGCTATACTCTTACAACATCAATTAGTATGATCATGAACGCTTGACGGTCTAGAACAATATATGCAACAAGTGCTGACATGCCTCAAAAATAAGAATACGAATTGGAACCTAAATCCACAAAATGTGGAGGAGGAGGGAAAGTTGGAGGCTGAATGTATAAGGCGACCACGGAGGAGACCAGCGGCACAAGACGATCAAAGACTATGAGAGAGAGGAATTCATTATACTCCGAAAGCACACTCTTTTACCACACTTGAGGCCCGTTCACTTCGCTGATTCGAGTTTAGAATTCGAGTTGAGATGTGACTTTATGTGAGAGCTTTTTACTGTAGCAAAAATAAATTAGATGTGATTGTTTGTGAGAGCTTTTTACTATAAAAAAACTTAAATTCTAAACTCGAATCAGCGAAACGAACGGATCCTTGTTTTGCACAACCACAATATCCCATGTTATATAACTTGTGTCCTCCACCTCCTCTTGACACTGTTAACAAGGACTTTGATTCTGTTGTGGACAAAATATATTTTGGAGGAGGACAAAGCCTCATGAAAGGCCTTCCAAACATGAATCTTGCTAGGAATTGTTCCCTCCATAGTTTCTTCCAACCATATTAAGTGTGTTTGGGATTACTTTTGAAATTCTCAGCAACACTTTGCACAATAAATAATACAACTACAGTGTTTGGTAAATATGCAAGTTATTTTAAGAAGTTAGAATGTATAACTTTTAAATTTTACTTTTTTTTATTTTTGCTTTAAGTAAAAGTAATACTTCTATTAAAAACACAGCAATTATTTTAAAAGTACAGCAACCCCAGAGTGTGGGCCATTATATCCATTCCTCTAGCTAACCCTTTCTCTCCTAGTATCTCCTACGTATCTCCAATTTACAGCCTGACTTATCAGTGTGTATACACCTCCTATCAAAGTGCCACATCAAGTGATCTTCACTACTTTTGGTTGCCAACGGTATGCTAAGAAGCTCATCTTTATCAACTTCCAATAGTGTTGCCTCCACCTTATCCTTTCTTCATAATGCCCCTCCAATTGAGTCTGCCATTAGTAACGTACTGTCTCCTTCCCTAGAGTTATGGAATGGTTGAAAAATATTGGGTCTTAGAATCTGAGGATTTTTAAAGACTCTAATGTTCAGCTCATTCCCAGCATTCATTGATTCCATTTGATGCCCTATTTAAGAACATCTCCCCCTTATAATACACTTTGCTAATTACAAAAGTGGAGGCTAGCTCCTGCGCATTTAGGAAAGTGTACATACCTAACTCAATAGTGAGCTTAGCCATATAATTATGGTTGATGCATCACTTTTGAGGGATATGAACATTTATGCTTTCTATAGATTTACACACTCATATTTTGTCTTTTTTGCTTCTTATTTTAAGAATACTTTTCAGCGCTCAAAAATGATAACTTCTCGGTATATATTTTCCCCTTTAAAGATTCAGATTAAGAGTAAAACTAAAAATACAAACATTTTCTTTAATTGTTATCATTCTCCGAGTTAATATTATTTACTCTCAATCATCGTCGTGGTTTTCGTTTAATATAGTGAAATCATCATACCACAATGAATGTGACTCTCACATTTAAGGATGAATCACTGTAACTTTAGATGTGCTTTTTTATTTTTAGTGTTTTCTTTTTGTCATACTATATATACGCCGTGTTAGGTTAGTGGTGATCAATACCTCCATTTTTACGTTCTGTGATTTTTCTTGTTAACTAATGATAATTTTTTATTGGCAGTAGATTTTTATGCCTGCAACAACCTTGAATAGAATCTTCCTACCTCCACCTAAAAATCTTGTTTTTCCACATTTGGAATTTCTTCCTTACGCTTTTTGATAATCAATTTCATCCTACTCGAAGTCGAAGGTAAATTAACTTACAATGACAAAATTATGAGTCCTTTCTCGAGTTAAAAGACATTAAGGAGATGTTTGGTTTGAGAATTCAAACCATAATTTAAATCATGATTTATGGTTCGTTACAGTGTTTTCTCTTATAAAAAATACACGTAAATAAAAAATTATTCTAATCACACGATTCTAATCTATAAACTAAACATCTCCTAATTAATTTTAAAATGACACGACACTTCCCCACCTTTGACGATAATACATGACGTCTTTTTTAGCACAAACGACATAAAAAAAGGTTTTGCTTGGATAAACGACTTCAAACTTTGAAACAACATTTTTTTTATTTTATTTCCTTAGAAACAATTTTTTTTTCTCATGAAATATTTATTTTAAATTTGTTCAATAGAGTAAATTAAATAATAATTCATATAATTTTCTTATTATGTTAAAAATTTGTTGTGATTTGACATTTAAAATACACAGTAGAGATATCTCAGCAAAAAATTCTTCTACATAATTATGGGGGTGGTCGGTTGACAGATTGCATTTGAGTAAGCCGAACTCGAATTGAGTTTATGTTTCTTATATGATTGGGAAAAAAAAAAAAAGAATATGTAAATACTATTTTATTTGCTCGAAATTAGAGAGAGAAAAAAAGAAAAAAATTGCCTTGCATTTTTCTTTTGTGAAAAAAAAAAAAAGACTGACTTGTTATGACTACACTGTGAGGTATATGCAGGCCTTGCTCCCAAGAAGAGGAGCTCGGAGCAAAAGAGAACCCCAAAACCGAAAAAAAAAAAGCCGGAAAAAGGTAATGACGTGGTGAAAGGTCTTTCTTTTCTTTCGCTTTCTTCTATTCTTATTCTTCTTCGTCGCTTTCGATCTCTAATTCCTCTTATTTCTTCTTCAATTTCATTACTCTCTCTCTTTCGGTTTCGTCCATGGCTATCCCAGGTTTTGATCCAATTCGGCCTTTTCTTTTAGCTTTCGTAAATTCGCTAATTCTTTTCCGATTTATTACTTCTTTTCCTAATATTTTTTTTTTCTGTATTTCCTAATTTAGTTGACGATTTTATACTCTTTTTTCTGTTTTGAATCTCCAATTTGAAATCGGAAATGGGTCTTACTGTTCTAAGTGTGCGTCGAATTTTTCTTTATCCCGTGATGGGTTGTTATGAAAATTGATTAACAAAATCAATAAGATGTTTTGGAGACATTCAGTCCGACAAATGTTGTAGTGAAACAATCCGCCAAAAGTGCACGAACTTTTCATGTTTTGTTCGATTCCTTCGTTTGTTACTATATATAGAGATGAACAAAATGATAAAAATTTTGATTCTTTACGTGGAATTAATATACTTGGCTATATTTGTTGAGCAGGTAGATTAGGCTAGGACTAGGAGGAAGGGACTCCAAATATTTCGATGCAGATCTGTTGCCGTTGGATTGCTTTTGCAAAACAAGAAGTTGGGTATGCAATATAAGAGGAAAAAATAAGCTTGACCCAAGAGGTTTGTTGGGTCGCCTGCGCAGTCGAATAAGCTTTTTTTATTCGTTTTCGGTTTGCGAAGGCGCTATCAGCTTGCTGATATCAGGGCTGTTGTCCATTTCAGTTAAGTTGGTATCGTCTTTGCATCATGCCATATTATATCCAGAGGCTCTATAATACTTGCAAAGCCGCGTTTTCGCCAGATGGGCCTGTCTCGGATGAAGCCCTTGAGAAAGTTCGTGCCATGTTAGGTATGGAGAAAGAAATGGACCCTTTTCACTGACTTCTGAATCTTTCCATGATTTTTCAGCTTAATGCTTGCTATACTATGGCTCTGTATTGTAGTTTGGTTATTTAATTCTCATGGAAATCTTTCCATGATTTTTTAGTTTAATGCTTGCTTGAGTGTGGTTAACTTGCTATGTAATTAGTTCAATTCAGTAATGTAGGCGAAACTGGTTGATACAAATCAGCAATGAAAACTTAAATACTTGAGTCTTTGGATATATAATTACTACATCTTAAATACCATGGAATCAGAAGCTACAAGCTAAGAGTAGGTTCTTGAAATCTCTTATTGTGTGGTCCAAAACCGTCGTATAAACGCTTAATTGTCTTCTCCTGTTGAGTTGAGTTTGAGCCCCCACCAAACCCACTTGGCTCCATCCATGCTGTTGTATGCACGTCAAAAAGTTTTCTCTTGACTTACCAAAAATCTGATCTGCTGCCTCAGTTTACCAGCAAGAGGTGCATATGTGTTGCCAATATTGTTAGGAGCATTATTCTAAGCCTTTTGGAGTATTTTCATCAATATGATCTCTCAAATGTTAGTTAATGGACGTTATTGTCACGTATAGAGTATTAGGAAAGTCCTGTCCTTTTTAAAGCTGCTTTTTCATAGAGTGCTTAATGTGAACATCATCAAGTTGTTAAGTTAAATACTCGTGAAAATTAGAAAGAGTCCTGGTCTTTGTAGAGGACTTCCTCAAGAAAGGATAATTTACAATGGTATACTCATGGCTGCTACCTTCTTTCCCTAGGGAAAAATTATTTCGACATTAGAATAATCTCAGAGCCTCTTACTTACACTACATTCCAGATCCATATTTAGAAAGGTCCTAGTCTACATTGGTTCTGATTCCAATTTCTATTCCATATTGAGTTTCCAACTACCTAGAATGTTTAGTCTGTTAGTTTTACTTGGATATATATAAAGCACATATTAATTTGTAACAGCATTGGAGACTCCGCTTCCAGTATGAATTTATAGTAGTAGAGCACCCTTGGATAAAAGCACCCTTGTAATTTATCCATGCAACAGATCTTCTGCAGTAGTTACATTTTTTATATTATTATTCTTTTGGGTAGCACTTTGAGGGGCTGAATCTTTGTTATAATGTTTGTTTTCTCTGTTTTTTCTTCTGTTTTAGCCATTTCTTTTTAATCACTAATTTGTATGTTATTTATTTCTCTCTTCTTTAATCTTTCCTTTTTCAATTTTCCGAAGATCCCGCGTTCATTCTACTCATATGCCTGCATGTAGTTTCTATCCAACATCCCTGATGCCATTTTTTATCTTTAGCTTGAAGCACTAATAGTTTTGGACATGATAGCTGAGTGAAAAACATCCCATCTTTGAACTTCTCTAGTTATGGATTTCATTTTTATATGATCTTCGTGGTCTTATTCATCCCAATTCCGTCAAGACTTTTCTATTATTACTCCGTTTAATTGAATTGTCAACTTATTTTTTATATAGGCTATGGTTTATGTGACTTATGTGTCAATTGTCCATGTTAAAAGAGTTATTCCTTAGTAGCCATACTGTTGTTCTGAAAGGGCTCTGGTTGGTAAGATCTACTTTATCTGAAATGAGTGGGTTGTTACCGTGAAGGTTTTATCGGGCACATATGGAATTGTCGAATTTGGGATGATAGTAAAGCATATTTAAACTGCTTGTATTCAGGGCTTTTGACATATTTGTGATAAGAACATTACAAGACTAGCTTAGTATCCACATTTTGAACCAGATGCAGCTCATAACTGATGGTTTATGATTTAGGCTGAAATTGATCTGCTGTGTGTTAAGCTCTTCTAAAGACGTTGTGATTGTTAACTAATATGATCTGCACATGTTAAACCTCTTTTCCGCCTAAGGTTGCTAGAATTCATATGTGAAATATTTTACGCTCTAATATTTCCCTTTCACTTTATGACTTATATCCATCTGGAATTCTATTTTACAAGTATTTGTGATTCATGGTATCTAATGTCTATCATATGCCACATGGCATTCTGGCTTCTCGTGATGTCATGACCACCCAAATACATTACTAGTTTTGCACTGTTTAACCATATCTGTACTTTCATTTCAGAAAAAATCAAGCCTTCTGATGTAGGTCTCGAACAGGAGGCACAATTGGTACGTAATTGGCCAGGTAATGTGCCGGAACGTAATGGACACCACCCATTATTGCCGCCAATCAAATACTTGCATTTACACGAGGATGACAGTTTCTCCGTAAGCACAGGGCCTTGAGCAATGAATCTTTTGTTCCAAATTTAAATTGGGGTCTCTTTTCAAGTAAAAAAGGGGAAAGAATATCTGGGTTCTATGATTTTCAATTCATATGCTCTACACAGAGTTAAAAACAATTATTTCATTTAAAATTGAACCTTTTTTTTGGAGGGGAATTTTGCAGATAGGAATATTCTGCATGCCGCCTTCCTCAATTATACCTCTCCATAATCATCCTGGAATGACCGTGTTGAGCAAGCTTATTTATGGATCATTATATGTTAATTCGTATGACTGGCTTGATTTACGGAGACCAGACAATCCTTTGGAAGGTGTGTCTTCTAAATCTTTGTCTCATTGCTTGGTTTTTTTACTCTTCTGATTCATGCAGAGTGCTTTCCTTGATTTTTTTTTTACTAATGGAAACGGAGGGGTTAAAGTTTGGCCTATCAATAAATTAAGGGTTAAGGTTCTTCATTTATTTAGGGCTTATTACATTGACACCCTCGTGTTTTGTCAAAATAACACACCCCTTAATCAAAACTAATCATGTTAACACCTTTTGACTTTTTGAAAAGATTACAAAGACCGTAAAAATTGACTACAATTTGACCGTTAATTTTTTATAAAATACCAAAAATGTCCCTTCGTGCATAAAAAAGAGTTTATAAATGTATTTGTTGCTGCAAATGACTTTTTTAGCCTTAACATAAAAATGCCCTCAAACCATTTTTTTTTTCTTTTTTTCAGCAATTGTATCTCTCTCCCTCTCTCTCTCTTTTTTTAATTGTTTTTTTCCAGTACTGCAAAATTCCACAATTTCCATTTCCAATATTTTCTTCAACTTATTTCTTCTTTCAGAACTTTTCTCTACAGTTTCTTTTCTCCACAGCTTTCTCAAAGCATTGTTGATTATCAACACCAAACCAACCAAAGCTATTCATTTCAAAGAAGAAAAAAAATTTAATTCGAAACTATTCATTAAAGACCAAGGTCCGAAATCATGGAAATGGCCCATACGAAAACATCTGCTTCATTACAAATCCTAGGCACCCAAACAAAACAAATTTATTTAAACAACGAAAGATTGCTCTTGATTAACAATGTCCAGCAACAGAAAGTAGGCGACAGGGGTTGTTAGTGTAATAAGCCCTTTTTTTATTAATAATTGTTGAACACTTATTACTGAGACATTAATTGGAATAAATTAAGGGTTTAGCATTCCAATTTTTTAGGACCTCTTTTGGATGTCTATAGGTTAGAAAAAATATCCCTCTGTATGTGACGTCCTTTAGGATTGAGAACTTGTCATTTGAAATATGTCAAACTATAAAAGATTTTTCTTACTGAAAATTGCATTGCATCTGCTGATCTCAGAATTGTCGAGTATACTCTAAAAGGCCTGTTTGGGGGATAAAAGGTTGTTGGTAAACTTGAACATGGGGCTGCAAAAACACCAGAATAGAAGAAGCTAGTTTTTATTGAGGGTCTATAAACAGAATTTATGAACATTAACAAAGGCAGAAAATAAGAGGAGATGTATTGCATGTAAGTAATGAGCATAGCGAAAACCCATGTTCAGTGAATTTATTTCAAAACAAGAATTTCTAAAATATTAATTTTTTATTAAAAAAAACTATAAAGTTGACACGATGATGTTTAATCATTTTCACCATAAAAAAATAATATAAAATAAAAAATGTTGGCGAATTACTTAACCCTTAACTGAATTTGAACTTCAAGTTGTACTTGATTGGCAGCAAGACCAGCAAAGCTTGTTAGAGATACCGAGATGACAGCTCCCTGTCCGGCAACAGTACTTTATCCAACGAGCGGAGGCAACATCCATTGTTTCAGAGCTCTAACTCCGTGTGCTATCTTTGACATCCTATCTCCGCCTTACTCTGCAGAAAATGGAAGGCATTGCACCTATTTCCGGAATTCCCCAAGAAGAGATTTACCTGGTAACAAAAGCTTCATTTACATAACTGATTATCGCAGCTTCTAAGTCTTACACTTATAATAAGGATGCTTTAACTTGTAAATCTTTCTCCGATGATAATTTATCGAAATGTATTCTTTGGTGGGATGAAGGTGACCTTGAGTTGGATGGAGAGACAATCCCCGGAGTGACTTGGTTAGAAGAACATCAACCTCCTGACAACTTTGTGATTCGGAGAGGGCTGTACAAGGGTCCTGTTATTAGAACTTGAGAACTTCTTATTTTGGTGGTGTTGGTTACATTTTAGTGAAATTTGCTTTTACATGATAGGAAACATCGAGGGGAAAGAGTTATATTTGAGTGGTTGGAAGAGCCATGACAATAATTATGATGTTTTTGGCTAAAGTAAGTTGGGGGCATTTGGCTTGTACATAATAATACAGGAGTACGCTCTTCGATTTACTGACCTCACATTAAACTTGTAGAGTAGTCGATCAAGGTTTGGGAAAACACTTGTCGGTGAAAGGCAGTTTCATCTCGGAATTGGTTTGTTTAATGACAGTAATCATATTAGCTCTTTTTTCTTTTTCTTTTTTTTTTTCTTTTGTTTTTTGTTTTTTTTCCCCCTTCTTGCCTCGCAATTGTTGTCTAAACGAGTTTCACAGTGCGCGAGTGTTGGTTTTGAGTGTGATTTGATCTGCTATGCGATATCTATCAGAGGTTCTGCGATTTGTGGCTCTGCGCCATCTTGGCCGTCTAACTTGTTAGGCGTCTGCATGGCAGATTTAGGCAGGATTAACGTGAGAGTTGCATGGATCAGTTGTAGAAAGACGATTAGAGCGATATCCACTTATCGTCTTTCGCATTTCTCTTCAAGTGAAGATAATTTGAATACTATTTTTTGCAACTTGACCCCTGTAATGTAGTGTCGTTTCAAAGGTGACTTGGAGCGTAGTTGCTGAGCAAACGACAGAACGTAAAATGGTGTCTCGAGTTTTGCGAACTGCTAACCGTTGTGGACAAGCGCAGGGAAAGACAACGGGATCCAAAATGCTTTCGCCATTAGTCTTTCTAGAAGTAATTTATGTTATCTATTTTGACTTTCAATTTGACCCTTTTTTTTTTTTTTTTTTTTCATTTTTTGGTTATTACACTTGCACCATACTTTGAACTCTGATTGTGGACTAACAAAAGCGAAGTAATTTCATCTTTTGTCCATGATCACTATGCTACAGGAATTTTTACTATTCCGCACCAATATAAGTGAAATTATTGCAAGATAAATTAGATTTTCAAGAAAGTGGCTAGTGGATGTTAATATATAATAAATTGATAAAGTAAGACTATGACAGTGGCCATTAAGGAGGGAATTTTTAGAGATTCTGAATTATTACATGACCAAGTGTAACTAAGAACAATTATTAATTTACATCAAATAGAACGAAATCCCACGTAATTAGAATGCAAAAATGAAACCATAGAATATACACAAACATGGACATGTGATTCTACAAACATATTAATAAATTGTAATGTTATTACACTAATCATAGCTCTCTCGATCTCATATGGTGCCTATGTTCGCGGCGGTTCTTTTGCCAACACAGCAGAGAAACCATTGCACCTAGATTCTTTTGTACGATTAGGTTTTATTTTATACAAATAATGTCCCCACCTAACTTTAAATATGAATTTTGAGCGATTGATAATATTAATACCTTGATCTCACAAATCGATATCTTATGATACATAGACATGCATAAATATGTATGTCTTACATATGTATATATACCTATACTAGTATAAATATCTTTACATTATAAAGGTCTTCGTACACAATATTTTTTTGTTTTCGTTTCATTCTCTGGTGGGTTTTTTAATCTCTTACTATGTTTAATCACTCCTCTCTCTCTCTCTCTCTCTCTCTCTCTCTCTCTCTCTCTCTCTCATTTGGGGTATGTGCCTTATTAGAGCTGCATGAAACTAGCTAACATGGCCCTGGAGCTGGCATGATAAGGGTCTTGTGGAAACGTTGAAGTGCTGGATTCAACTTATATTTTTTTATAAGCATATATACATATCTAAATTATACCAAGTATCATTCAAAGAAATATACATTATCGATCGCTTGATGAGTTTAAGAAATGAAAAATGGTCAATTATTCCATGCGTATATGTATGAACAAGAGATGACAAAAATCTAATTGTTGTTACATTTAATATTGTGCGTGTGTGATGTGTTGTGTACACATATTATATGATACATTTTTTTTCTCTTTGAACAGCCATGATGATCATTTGTCTTTTATTGCGAATATTTATTATCAAATAATTGATATAGTTGAATATATCATTCCGAATAATTATATGACGTCTCAAAAGAAAGCCTTGACTTTTATGACATCACGTTCATATTAGTTATCAAGTGCATTATGGAAGAACATACATTTTTAGGACCTAATTGAAATATGCTTAAATTTGGATTTGTGAGACTAATTACCGGCGTGGACATTATGATCAATTCAATAATATGTGCCGGTCAAGAAGAATTGTTTGACGGGTCAGAGTGAAATATATATATATATATATATATATATATTATCCTATATTTCCTAAGGCGAATATATAATTAGAGAATTTCTTGTTTTTGTAACTGCACGAGACCCATTTCCCTTCTCTCCCGCGTAACTCTTT